AGAAATCTAATGTTCCACAAGAATATTGTATAGAACATACAAATTCCAGGCTTTTCTAAGTTTAGACTCTACCAAAGTAGTCACGCAGAACTGTTCACCAGCTCCTTCACAATCTGATGCTGTAATAATAGGACTTGAAACCCAAACAAATCCATTTTCTTGGAAGAACTTGTGCGTAGCGTATGCCAAAACATTCCTCACCCTTGCAACCTATACCACACCATAATATTCAAACTGATTGATTAAACAACCGTTCATAAAAATTATTAAACAAAAGCCAGTACATAAATTTTGTCTGACTAATTATTTTGATCAGTTACCAATTTTCAGGAAACAAGAACATGACAATTAAGTAGCATAGAGGAAATCCATAAATAATCTCCACCCAGAGGAGGCAAAGCAAAATTAAAAGATCTTCTAACGGAAAACTTAGGAGGGAAACAAACTTTGTCTACATATATACATACATACATACATATATATATATATATACACACATACATACATATATTGACGAGGCAACCTCCCTTTCAAAGTTAACATAAAGGCACTTATATTTGAGTTAATTAGACAAAAAGTGCATTGAAATTTTTCCAAGCCAAAGACCTCATCCATTTTCCTTACTTTTATTAAAGAGGCAAGAATTCATTTCCAAACATAAATTCCGTACAAATGCTTTCACATAATTCATCTGTCGTTTTACTTTTCCTTCTAAATCTATGTCAACAAAGTGAACATATCGTGTTTTCTTTTCCCAACCTATGAAAGATCCAAGAATAATACAAGCGCCATGAAAAAATGATATCCAACAATTCAAATCATTAGGATGTATGAAAAGAGGACGTCCTTGTGTCTCCTTTGGTTTCATCAATATCTTCACCAGGAAAAGATGTTCTTTGAGGAATGATACTTCCAACATTTTAACCCCCCAAAAAAAAGCAAAGATTGAGACATTTGATCCATTGATTCACTACATCAGAAAGCACAAAAGTTCAAGATTTCCATTCATCCCTAAATTTTCCATGATGTCAAAATAGTTCATTTTGGTGAGTTAGACAATTGAGACCTTTATTTTTCATGAATATCAGGAGTAGCACCCTAGCCTTGTATTCTAGAATCTATACTAAATAAATAAAAAAACAGAACAATACCGCCCCAAAGGTGTTTGTTCTTGGACGAAGATGAGCTTTGGTTCTCAAAAATTCTCTGCTAACTCTTTTCTTTTGGACGGGATAGGAAGGATCACTCTTGCCAACCTGAAATACAGAAAATATTAACACAAGGGGAAATGTTTTCTGAATTTGAACATCTATAATGCAGTCTAAGTACATGATATCAAATATAATTTATCAGCCATTAATAGAGTGTGAAAGTGAATTCAATATCTCAACTTTTACTTCATTAAAAGAAACTGTGTTTGCCATTTTTATGTATTGACAAAGGAAAAGAGCAAATTATTGATGCAAGTATCCAAGCTTATTTGAAGACCGTTCCATTTCTAACTTTCACTTTTCTTAAAATCAAATATGTTTGATCGCTATTCTTTTCCATTCTTCAAAAATGTTTTTGATATCTTAGATTTTTTTTAAGGGACACAGAATCTTATTGCAATAACGTAGCCCTTCTCTTACCAATCTCTCTTTACCCATGTATTTTATCTTATTATCTTCTCTCAACTCACATTTTTCCTATTAATTTTGTACGCATCTCCATTCCTTTATACACACTTTCTTCGCTACTGTGCCTCCATACATGCTTTCCCCTGCTTTTCTTTCTTCAAATATAATTTCCTTTTACACTCTTGCCTGTCCATTTGAATAATCGATTAGAAAAGTCAAAACAAAGCAACATTGATTTTTTCAATTTTAAAGTTCACAATAAAAAAAGCATTGTTCAATAACTTTCTAATGTAAAAATTTTAAGCCGAAAATAGAAATGGTTCAATGGACCCTTAGCAATTGTTTCATTCTTTCTAGGTTCCTTCCGAACACATATGAATATGGTCACTGCCTTTTCAATGAAGTTAATCCAACGTACTAATACCTTGTACTAATACTTGCATATATGCATCATTCTTTTTCTTGTGCCGTTCAAATTATATCACCTTTTTTCTGGATGTATGTATTATGTGAGAAAATACTGCAGTTCGTGATCAGGAAAAATGATTGTAGCCAAAACTACTTGAGAAAAAAGGATGAGAAGTACTAACCATAACAACTTTTTGGAGTTTCAGTTCCACTTTTTGTTTTGATCCTTGGCTGGCAACCACGACCCCTTGCACCCAGACTGATGCACCAGTTGCGATCAAGCCTGATTCAACCTGCCATCAAACTCAAAAACTGGAATAAGAACACAGAGGACAAGAAAATACCTATTAAAAGAAATCCTAATGCCTCTCTCGGTGCCCATGATATAACTTCTTTTGTAATTGTCTACTACAGTTGATGGAGCCTCTTTTTGTTATCCTTATTAACTCTCTGAACTACAAAATTCCAAGGAGAAAAAAAAGAAAACAGTTCGTTCAGATACCTGTAGATCTTCAAAATTGCCTTTTCCTTTTTAAAAAAAGTTGTCACAAGGAAAATAAAATGATCATCTAAATAAATGGCAAGTGCGTAGACAACTGCATTCTCTCTTGCCAACTGTTAGTTAACAGCTTTCACGATCATCCTCCAAAAATATCAACCACCAAAATGAAAATGAAAGAGAGAAGATTGATCACTCTATCAATCAGGCAAGTTAGTTATAGAGCAAAAAATATGCATATTTCAAACCCCAAACAGCTTCATATATCCTCTAGCCTTCTCGTGTATTATTTTGTTTCATTTTGATTCGAAGGATCGTTAGTTTCTTAGGTTCAAAAGATGGATATGCTTGCTATTGACATTGTTTATTAAAGAAGAGAAAAAGAATAAGCAGAGTTCGCCAACTATTTAAGTACCAGATTTAGCTGACTTGAATACCTGATCATAACCTTCAGTAGTTGAATCCATGACACATTGCATATTTGAAATGCATGAGCCATCATTTACCTAAGCACAAGGAAAAACGAGGCAATAAGATAATCACGATACAAAACAATATTTATTCTTCCAACAATCCATATCCAATCCCCTGTCTAAAACTGCAACTTTTATATTTCCATTTTTTTCTTTTGCCCCATTTGAAATTAATGTCAATGATGGCTCTGTTTCATATCCCCAATCTCTTAAATTTGTTATTACTAAAACCAATAAAATCATCATGGAACCAAAACAGAGCTTTGAAAAAATTTACGACTGTGCTAATAACAGAAGCTCCATGATGCGATTCGACGGTGTTTTCATTCAACGATGCCGTGCGATTTTTCACTACAACTTAAGAATACTAGAACTGGCCAAGAATTATCAAGCCAATTCTCATATGGTTAATGCAATCTTATCTTCCAGTTTTTCATTCAGAATTTACCACCACATGAATGAAAATGATTCGGATAAGGAAATAGAAAGGAAAATCTCAAACTTCCTATCCTGCATTTCTCAGCCTCTAAACTGATCCCTATCACATCACGAATAGGCTGACCTTACCTCCATGAACGTAACGCTGCTCTGAACCCGAAGAGTTCGAACCCATCCCTTCACGATGAGCGTCTGTCCGACTCTATCCAGCCCTTCATCGAGGCCGCCCTTGACTTCAGATATCCTCAGCTTCTTTCTGAATTCCCCAACCTTCTCCCCTAGCGAGGCCTTCCAAACATCAGAAACTTCAGGTTTCGTCTTCCCCGTAGCTTCCCCGGATGAGAGAGCTGCAGAGACGGCAGTGCGAAAACTTCGCCGGAAATAATCAGAAGAGTGGCGGCGGGGAATTGGCGGGAAAAGAATGTACGGTGGTAGTTTTTTAGGGAATCTGGTGATGAAACGGAGAGCTGAATAGGGATTGAAGCGGAGAGAAACGGCCGGCGACATAGCGGCAGCCATTGAAGGCTTGTTTGTGCCCGTGTGTGACTCCTACTGGTTGTGTAAATATCCACTCCCACGAGCGGACCCGAATGACCTTCGCTGATGCGGCTGCTGCGGCGGTAGTGTATACATTTAAGAGATTTTCACTATTTTTACATTTTCTTCATTAATAAATCCAAAATTTATGAAATTAAAGTCAAAAAATAAAGAATATTATTAATTATACACGTCTATTTAAAAATATTTGACATTTAATGGCCTTGACATTTTCACGTATCTTCCGAGATTTGGATATACTAACCAGTACATACGAGACCTCTTAGTATACTCTTATCTCATAGTTTCGGTGTTTTTATAGATAAGATATTGAAAAATGAAGACACCACCGTTGAAACAGACAATTATTATTAATTTTTGTTTAGATCGCACTTTAATTTTTTTTTTCTTTTCATTTGGTTCCTGTAGTTTCAAAACGTCATTACAACTTATATAGCTTTTTATCCTATAGTTTTTATAATTTTGGAACATTTGTTTTGGTCTCTTATAGAAGCTAATCGTAATATTTGTTAGGATCACACAACTCACACACTCGATTTAGATGAACACAAAGAACAAGAAAAAAAATACAAGAAAAATATTGGCTAAAGATTATACGGATGATTTAATGTACGCACCACACAGATAATATATATATATATATATATATGTGGTTACCGTGTTTTTCGAATAAATATTAATTTTTATGTATAGGTTAAAATATATATATTTTTAAGTTTTAAAGATTTTTATTTAATTTTTATTTTAAATAAAGGACGACATTGAATCTTTTTGAAAGTAGAAGAATATTTTTTTAGACATTAATTATTTATTAATTTAGCCTTTAAAAAAATATTAAAATAATAAAGAATAAATATTATTTAAATTATTGCCAAATTTTCACCTTATCACCGGTCCGCAGTCGGAACTTGGCGATGGGTTTAGGGTCAACGAGTCAAACCCAATATCGAATGGCAACCGTCAGATCGATTTGCTGACGAAATTTTTGCACATTGCGTTGGTTACACCGCCATTCTGAGAATCTGTCACTCGCAATCCCAAGCCGATTTGTTTCTCAAATACCCATTTCCCAGTCCTCCGCGGCATTCACTCTCGAAACTGGGATAAACCGATAGAAACAAAGCAAAATCTTCGAAATCCTGTTAAATTTTCATCCACGGCCGACCATTCCGATGATTTACACGAACTTCTTGACAGTATGCCTTCAAACTTCATGCAATCCGTAGTGGGTTTCCGTTTCTTTAACGTTTTTCTTCATGTTTCTTATGAATTTGTCTCGGATTGTCTCAGGAGGTACTTTGGACGATTTTCAGCAAATCGACCTTAACCATGCCGTTTCGAGGTTTATATCAATCAATTTCTGTGTTGGAAGCTTTGTTTTGTAGCGTATTTAGTTGGATTCTTGATGTTTTTAGTTGTGTGGTGTTGTAGAAATGGAGATGGGGCGGAGAGTAGAGGGGCTCTTCCTTCTGAGGTTCAAGGTTTAGGGATGGGTTTGCCTGACTTGAGGAGCATGAAAAAGGGGAAGCAGAAGGTTTCGAAGGAATCGCATGTCTCTGAGGCTCTTGATAAGCTTAGAGAACAGACCAGAGAGGCCGTCAAGGGGCTTGAATCGGTCACTGTCCCTAAAGCTGCTGGTGATGATTTTCAAGATGCTTTGATGGAAGATTGGGTGAAGCAGTTCGGGGAGATGGCTGGCTCTCAGGTACATTGCTTGAAAAGCCTTTGGAACTTTTCAATGTTGAATTTGGCCTTTCATGGAAATACTTTTCCTAGTTTTGATGTGGCTTGAACATAGTTTTTTTTTTTTTTTTTTTTTTTTTTTTTTTTTTTTTTTTTTTTTTTTTTTTTTTTTTTTGTTAGGAATCACACCCCTTCACTTGTCACTTTTAGCTTTTATGGCTTTTCATTTGGCTTCTCCAAAAGGTCTCATAATGAAGATGTATTCTTTACTTATATATGAACTTATGATCAACCCTTAATTAGTCGATGTGGGACTCCTCTTCCGACAATTCTCCCCGGGAACAAAGTACACCATAGAGCCTCCCTTGAGGCCTATGGATGGAGGCCTTGAACACCTTCCCCTTAATCCAGGCTCGACTCCTTCTTTGGAGCCTTCGAACAAAGTACAACATTTGTTCGACACTTGAGTCACTTTTGACTACATTTTCAATGGTCTCAACTTCTTTGTTCGACATTTGAAGATTCTATTCACATGGCTAAGTTAAAGGACATGACTTTGATACCATGTTAGGAATCACGACTCTCTACCATGGTACGATATTGTCCACTTTGAGCATAACCTTTCATGGTTTTGTTTTTGGCTTCCCCAAAAGGCCTCATACCAATGAAGATGTATTCCTTGTTTATATATAAATCCATGATCAACCCCTTAATTAGGTGATGTGGAACTCCTCTCCCAACAATCCTCAATAGTTTTGTAATTTTATGTGTTTTGATGCTGACTTAGGGTGAGTTTGGCATTAAGTTTGAACACTGCGAAGTACTTTTAGCCGATTAAACTCTTTTCAAGGTCTTTTAAGAATACTTTTATGCTATTTGGTCCATAGTTTTGAGGCCTTTCTTCTGAAAATGCACATAGAAAAGTGCGGGGAATAAAGATGCTGGGAGTTCCCATTGTTCCCATCAGAATCTTCTTTCTTGATCCGTTATCTTAAAGGACAATATGTTTTTTAGTTATCTTTTTTTATATTTTGATTTAGGTCCCTCCATTATTGTGTAACGGCCCAAGTCCACCGCCAGCAGATATTGTCCTCTTTAGACTTTTCTTTGAATTTTTAAAATACGTCTACTAGGATGAGGTTTCCACACATTTTTATGGAGTCTTGATCGCTCTTTTCTGATCCTAATCTGAATGATGTGTAGCTAGTTTTTATGTGTTTTATCCAATCAAAATCTTACCATGAACTCTAACATGCACTATTTCTTCAACCATAGAACATGGAGTCGATGGTCGAGAGGATGATGCAACAGCTTCTATCCAAAGAGATTCTCCTTGAACCAGTGAAAGAAATAGGAGAAAGATATCCCAAATGGTTGGAGGAGCATAAAGCAAGTTTGAGCAAAGAAGAATACGAACGCTATTCTCAGCAACTCGAACTGATAAAAGATCTCAACATCGTGTATGAAAACGAACCCGATAACTTTGACAAAATTGTTGAGCTGATGCAGAAAATGCAAGAATGTGGTCAGCCACCAAATGATATTGTGCAAGAGCTGGGACCTGATTTCGATTTAACTAATCTCGCACAATTGTGAGTTTATTGTTCTCATGTTTTGAATTAGCTGATTATTTTGTGCTGTCAATAATTAACATATTATTTGCTTGCAGATCTCCTGAGATGTTGGAATCTCAGACAAATTGTTGTATAATGTGAGGTAAGGCTTTTGGATGCTCTAATTTGTGGTGCTTCCTTCCATTTATTCTCATATTTGTATTGTCTCAAACAAATTACTTTGTCCAATAATCATGGGTTCAATTTCAATGTTTATTGGACTCGGAATAGATATCTCTCACACACACAAATGAGATTTTTGTTGTATCAGAAGTGATTTCTTCTATCTTCTCTGTTGTGCCATTGCCTTGGCTTGAATCTTGCACTCTCTCTCTCGATCTCTCGTGCCCGTGCACACGCACTTGACACTTTTTTTTTTTGCATGTCGTGCCTATGCTTTAGTTTGAATTGTGAACTGTCTCGATCTCTCATGCATGCATGGGCACGTATACTCAATATTTTTGAAGTATCAGAAATGATATCTACCTCGTCTGTTGCACATCTGATTTGGTTTGGTTTGAATTGTGAATTGTCTCGATCTCTCAGGTATGCATGCACACATGCCCCCAATATTTCTGTAGTATTAGAAATGATCTCTAACCTGTCTGTTGTACATTTGGTTTGGTTTGAATCTTGCACTATCTCGATCTCTCGTGCCGGTGCACATGCATCTGACTTTTTTTTGTAGTATAAAACATGATTTCTACTTCATTTGTTGTGTGTTTGTAAATAGATGTGTTTGTATGTGTGAGTGTTTGTTTAAACTCCCTTCGAAAATTAAAAGGTGTTTAAATAAATAAAACTTTCACAGGATAATTATGAAGACAAGGTGGAAATGATTTTTGTAGCCAATTCAACATGTCTACCATTTTAGGGATTTTACCAAATAGAGAGATGTGAACATAAATTCACAAGATGAATTCACTTTTTCCTATACATAAGGTAAGTAGATGAATAATTTCTTTGATTGATGATTTTGGGACTTGAACCATGGAGTCTATCCTTTCATTAGCCGGAGAGGGACTTAGTTTATATTTGGATCATAAACAAATGGTTCATTAGAGAAATAGTGCTACTTAAGGTTAAAAAATGTAATTACAGGTAAAACAAATTTTGACCAAGTTGTAAATATAAACGAAATTGAAATTTGTGAAAGATCGACTTTTTTTTAATGATTATATCAATGGATAACTTGTCTTACAAGGCATAAGAGTGTAATCGTAGAGCGATCTAGAATCAATGAATGAAAATTAATCCATCATAAAGATTAAAATATTAATTAATATTTGATATACTAAAAAGATATATTTAATTTTTATTAAAATTATACATTCGAAATTTCAATTAGATTCAAATCACCTAAATACCTTATAATATTTAATTTTAATCAAATTAAATATTATATTAATATTTCTGACGTTGAGACAGATAAACAATTTATCTGTTTCCACGTAAATTTTGAGAATTTTGATTTTATTTATAATTTATGAACAAAATTCGAAACAAATCACAAAGAATGTGAAAATTATATACTTTCTTTCCACCTATAAAATCCATTTTTCTTACACAACCGACCCTTCAATTCTATCCCCCAAAAATCAAAAAATAAAAAAAATAAATAAAAATCTGTTCCAAATTCCAAATCATCAACACCATTTATTAAACCTAGAAGACGGCGAAGTTTCACCCGATTTCACTAAGAAGAATGCATCTCTATCGATCGACGACTGAATCGCCGCCGCAATCCTCACCACCGCCGTCCACAAGACCGGCGCGACACAGAACGCGTATAAAAAAATGCAGAGTCCTCTGACGACGCCGTCAGAGTACCACGGATAGGCCATGACTAGAAGTACGCCGAAGATTCCAGCCGAAGGAAGGAGGACGGAGAGGATGGGGAGGAGGAAGACGGTGGCGGCGAGGAAGGAGAGGGTGGAGGAGCCGAGCAAGTAAAGGAGCCAGCCGAGGAACGGGTGGATGGTGGTCGGAATGATGAGGAATGGAACGGAATAAGCGATGATGATAGACCAGAAGGCGGCGAGTTTGAGGGCGGGTTGGAAGGAGGCGGCGGGCTTTTCCAATCGGCGGTGGGAGAGCTTGATGAGATTAGGGCGGGCGAGACGGATCATGGTGAGAATCCCTAGGCAGAGCAAGATTTCGATTAGAACCAACGGCATCTCCGCGCCGTACCTGTCCACAATTCATCCGTTAGGTCTCAATTTTGTTTACAATTTTTTTTTTCTTGAAGATCATTGGAGAATAAATATAAAAAAAATAATTATAAAATTAAAAAGCAAAATGCAAATTTTAAAATTAACCGTAAATGAGTTATGATATAGTTTTAAGAGAATTAATGAACTATTTATTAAACTTATCTGATTTTTTGAACCCCATACAACTAAGTTAATAATTATAATTATGATGGTAAATTATGATAATTTTTAAAAGAAAGTTAGTTGGAAGATTCTAAAATAAAATTTATACCAATTTTTAGATCTTTTATTTTTTAATTTTTTTGATAAGTTAAAAACTTGAATATCAAATATAAATTTTCTAAACATTTACATGCACCGAGAAAGAGAGTTGGATTACCCAAGAGTGCGACGACGTTGCTCATGCCATTGGAGGCCAAGAGGTAGTACGGGCCATGACCACCAATACCATGGTTTCAACCATGATGCTCCTGGAAACGTTATTACACTGTTTGGACCGCAAGGAATGCTCCATCGCAACTTTAAATCTGTATTACAATACACTTGTTAATGAATGCGATCAAAATATAATAACTTCAATAAGATAAAATTTTGAGAATAAAGTAATGTATGAGCCCTCTCCCATATATACATAAGTACATACCGGGTGAGTGGTAAGTTGACATTTTTTTTATTTAGTACATGTTAGATTAATACCACCTCTACTTATTTATTTATTAATCCAGAGTGACCAGCATTTTCTTAATTTTTTAATCAATATTCAATTGGATAATTAATTTTATAAATCCATTTATATTAAAATTGAAGTATAATAAAATTAAAAGATAATTGATAGGAATCACAATCTTGTTAATATCTTCCTAGCTTAACAAATTAATAATTTGTAACTTATTCCTCTACTGTTTGTTCAATATGTTAATTTTTCCGTTGGGGAAAAATTAAAAATGAAAATGTAACTTATTCCTCATAGCTTAACTAATTAAAAATGAAAAATAGAAAGAGTAAAGGAAGGGCTTACAATAGTAAGAAGCATCCATTTGGTAGCCCAAGGGGAGCCTGTAGTTGCCATCAAGAACGGAGCCATTGGATGGTGGATAGAACATTGGCTGGTTCAACAGATCAGGAAAGAAGCTGCCAATGAACCCTTGATCTGCACCATCTGGGTTCTTTCTCCCCACTCTCACTTCATTAATCATGTCATCAAATACCCTTTTTGAAGGCTATAATCAATCCAAAATTCAAACATTGGTACTCGAAATCAGATATTCAAATGTTCACTTTGACATATTGTTAAACTAAAATGAAATTGAGATTACCTCGAGAACGAAAAGGCCAGTGTGGAAGATGCAAGGGTTGATGAAGACAGCACAAAACTGACCACATTGAAAGAGCTCATCAGTTTTTTGGAGAAAGAGGTTGTCGGAATCCAACATCACCACCCGGTCGTAGTCTACCAAACTCCATGCATATAGTTTGTTCAGTGTTAGCTTGAATCTCTTGTCAAAGTTCGATTGGTTTCTATATGGGTTGTTTACGTTATCTACACTCACCACTCTAGCTCCATCTTCTTGCTCCCTATGCTCCAATCAAACATGAAACACTCATTCCAATTATTATTCTAACTAACAAGACCAAAATTAAGTTATTCTAACGATCAAAACACGATAAATTCAAATACTCAAAATTGACTAAATTGACTAATACTGATCAAAAAAAAAAAAAAAATTAATATTCATAAAAATAACCTAAGCTTACTCTAATACTTATTATAGTAGTCATCTTTCCACTAAAAAGGAAAAAAAGATCGGATACCAGTTCTAACTTCTAAAATCTTAACTCCATCAACTAAATCATGATCATGAGTACTAAAATAAATATCCTTAAATAGTAGCTAATTAAATAATTTAATGTGAACAAAGTCACAAAAAATGCTAATTAAATAATTTAATGTTAACAAAGTCACAAAAAATGCTAAAACTCATTCAGTAAAACTATTTAAACTTTATCACAAAATCATCCCAATCAAACAAGCAGACAAAATACTCTAAAAATACATCTCAAATCAATTTAATGCATATTAATCATAAATCTTCAAGTAAATAAGAAAAATCAACTCAATTGAGAGATTAAATATCACCAATTATGGATTCGTGTTTTATTTAATAAATCAGTTTGATAAAATCAAAACTATTAACTAAACCAAGTACCAAGAATAACCCAAAATCCATACGTATTCTAAAATATTAGTCAACACTATAGATATAAATATGTACAAAATTAACGCATGCCCCAGTTCCCACTTGCTAGACTCTACAGACTATACTCTTGATTAGACATTTTAATTCATTTAATATTTTCAGAATTTGGCCTGCACGAAAACCCATAATTTTTCTTTGTCCAAAATGTCAAACAAAAGGGTAGGTAAACTATGGGCGTTTGAATAAAAATAAGAAAGAAAAGAACAGAAAATAATGTGTTCCTTTTAAATTCATCTGGATAGACTTCTTCACCACAAACAATATCTGGACAACATTCAAATAAAGGACAGAAAAAGAAAGGAGTTGGCGGACTAAATGTTTCAAAAGTCAGTGTTCTAAATTCTGGTTAAACGAGCCCACGACATTCTTCCCTTGCCTTTTCCTCTATGAGACAAAATATTTACCCACTTTATGCATGTTTCAATACCAAATTATTTTGACTTCATAACAAAAAAACAATTGTAATTCATATTATTAAAACACTAAATGCATGGAATCAATAAATAAACTTAATCGATTTTAGATTAACAATGATACTAATAATTTCTTTTAAAGGTAAACGTTTGAGTTCATCTATTTACTTATTATATGATTTGTATTTTATTCATTAACTATGTGTATATTTAACTATTTAACTGCTAAAAGTTAATTATTATATTTATGGACTAACTTTATGAGATGTCATCTAAAACATAGCTTAGGTAATTAAGATATTTATAACTTTTCTAAGATGGAAGGTTTAGTATTTCATTTTATAATTTTTAAGAAATAAAATGATTTCAACGCTCTAAAATATTTAGTTATCTAGAAACTCATATGGTTTCAATACTCTTCAAATCTTGTATTTTC